TTGGACTCCAGCTTGGACCGAAGCGGTGCAGAACGAAAGCCGGCTCCAGGAGGACACGAGCAGGGTGGCAGTTGGCAGTGCAGAAACGCAGGAAAAGTCAAGGTTTGGAGCTAGTTTCTAGTCGGTTCAGAAAGTGACGTTTGGCAGTCTGGGATACGGGCCGCGGGCCCAATCCGTCCTTCACTGCCATGGTGTTTTAGCCCTGCGACACGGTCCTTGGACTCCAGCTTGGACCGAAGCGGTGCAGAACGAAAGGCCGGCTCCAGGAGGACACGAGCAGGGTGGCAGTTGGCAGTGCCGAAACGCAGGAAAAGTCAAGGTTTGGAGCTAGTTTCTAGTCGGTTCAGAAAGTGACGTTTGGCAGTCTGGGATACGGGCCGCCGACACAATCCGTCCTTCACTGCCATGGTGTTTTTTAGCCCTGCGACACGGTCCTTGGACTCCAGCTTAGACCGAAGCGGTGCAGAACGAAAGCCGGCTCCAGGACGACACGAGCAGGGTGGCAGTTGGCAGTGCAGAAACGCAGGTAAAGTCAAGGTTTGGAGCCGCAGAACGAAAGCCGGCTCCAGGAGGACACGAGCAGGGTGGCAGTTGGCAGTGCAGAAACGCAGGAAAAGTCAAGGTTTGGAGCTAGTTTCTAGTCGGTTCAGAAAGTGACGTTTGGCAGTCTGGGATACGGGCCGCGGGCCCAATCCGTCCTTCACTGCCATGGTGTTTTAGCCCTGCGACACGGTCCTTGGACTCCAGCTTGGACCGAAGCGGTGCAGAACGAAGGCCGGGTCCAGGAGGACACGAGCAGGGTGGCAGTTGGCAGTGCAGAAACGCAGGAAAAGTCAAGGTTTGGAGCTAACTTCTAGTCGGTTCAGAAAGTGACGTTTGGCAGTCTGGGATACGGGCCGCGGGCCCAATCCGTCCTTCACTGCCATGGTGTTTTAGCCCTGCGACACGGTCCTTGGACTCCAGCTTGGACTGGACCGAAGCGGTGCAGAACGAAAGCCGGCTCCAGGAGGACACGAGCAGGGTGGCAGTTGGCAATGCAGAAACGCAGGAAAAATCAAGGTTTGGAGCTAGTTTCTAGTCGGTTCAGAAAGTGACGTTTGGCAGTCTGGGATACGGGCCGCGGGCCCAATCCGTGCTTCTCTGCCATGGTGTTTTAGCCCTGCGACACGGTCCTTGGACTCCAGCTTGGACCGAAGCGGTGCAGAACGAAGGCCGGCTCCAGGAGGACACGAGCAGGGTGGCAGTTGGCAGTGCCGAAACGCAGGAAAAGTCAAGGTTTGGAGCTAGTTTCTAGTCGGTTCAGAAAGTGACGTTTGGCAGTCTGGGATACGGGCCGCGGGCCCAATCCGTCCTTCACTGCCATGGTGTTTTAGCCCTGCGACGCGGTCCTTGGACTCCAGCTTGGACCAAAGCGGTGCAGAACGAAAGCCGGCGCCAGGAGGACACGAGCAGGGTGGCAGTTGGCAGTGCAGAAACGCAGGTAAAGTCAAGGTTTGGAGCTAGTTTCCAGTCGGTTCAGAAAGTAACGTTTGGCACTCTGGGCTACGGGCCGCAGAACGAAAGCCGGCTCCAGGAGGACACGAGCAGGGTGGCAGTTGGCAATGCAGAAACGCAGGAAAAGTCAAGGTTTGGAGCTAGTTTCTAGTCGGTTCAGAAAGTGACGTTTGGCAGTCTGGGATACGGGCCGCAGGCCCAATCCGTCCTTCACTGCCATGGGGTTTTAGCCCTGCGACACGTCCTTGGACTCCAGCTTGGACCGAAGCGGTGCAGAACGAAAGCCGGCTCCAGGAGGACACGAGCAGGGTGGCAGTTGGCAGTGCAGAAACGCAGGAAAAGTCAAGGTTTGGAGCTAATTTCTAGTCGGTTCAGAAAATTACGTTTGGCAGTCTGGGGTCCTTCACTGCCATGGTGTTTTAGCCCTGCGACACGGTCCTTGGACTCCAGCTTGGACGAAGCGGTGCAGAACGAAGGCCGGCTCCAGGAGGACACGAGCAGGGTGGCAGTTGGCAGTGCAGAAACGCAGGAAAAGTCAAGGTTTGGAGCTAGTTTCTAGTCGGTTCAGAAAGTGACGTTTGGCATTCTGGGATACGGGCCGCGGGCCCAATCCGTCCTTCACTGCCATGGTGTTTTAGCCCTGCGACACGGTCCTTGGACTCCAGCTTAGACCGAAGCGGTGCAGAACGAAAGCCGGCGCCAGGAGGACACGAGCAGGGTGGCAGTTGGCAGTGCAGAAACGCAGGTAAAGTCAAGGTTTGGAGCCGCAGAACGAAAGCCGGCTCCAGGAGGACACGAGCAGGGTGGCAGTTGGCAGTGCAGAAACGCAGGAAAAGTCAAGGTTTGGAATGGTTTGGAGCTAGTTTCTAGTCGGTTCAGAAAGTGACGTTTGGCAGTCTAGGATACGGGCCGCGGGCTCAATCCGTCCTTCACTGCCATAGTGTTTTAGCCCTGCGACACGGTCCTTGGATTCCAGCTTGGACCGAAGCGGTGCAGAACGAAAGCCGGCTCCAGGAGGACACGAGCAGGGTGGCAGTTGGCAATGCAGTGTCGTCTCGGGTCTCTTTAGGATGCCATTTCAAGTTTCATACTGCGGTTACGAACGGGGGCTTCGGGTATGGGTCTTAAGTGCTAGAGCAACCCTTTAGGTCCCCAAGACACCTGCCCAATGACGAAAGCTCCTATTTCTTGAGCCATGAAAAAGTGTCAGAGCACATAGTTGTGCGTGTCATCCTGCAGGGGTCCATGCTGCTTGCATGTGCACAGTGCCAAACGCACATACAAATGGTTTGTTTAGGTCAGTTTCTGGTTTCTTTAGGGTTCATTTCATGCTTACGACACAGAGGCAGGCATGACCCTCCAGTGTCCAGGGGTCGGCGGCAGAGGGCGTAGCCCTTTAATAGCATTTAATAATATTGACCAATGATGGAATTGGATTTAGCAACCCAGGCAAAACAAATCAAAACTTATATGAACTGGTGATAACATGTGAGAACGGGTATCTTTGGTGCAGTCATCAGAGTACTTCATTCCACAATGGCAGGCTTTGCAAATGTTCAAAAAATGATAAGTTATTGATCCTGACCATCGTGATACCATTTCGGCCAACAACCTCTGATCTCCCACTGACAGAACTGGCAAGGTCTGCACCTCGGACTCGTCTAAGGGGCCCACAGGCTCAGGACCTTGGAATCTTATTCGCAAAAGACGGTACTTAAACTCGGTGAAAGATGGTGAAACACAATATAGAGTCTCTTTGGTCTCTTGAGTTATATTTACACAGGCTTGTTGATACTGCCATGATGCTTTAAGAATAATTGGGAGGGTCATGGTTCATATGAGGCAAATCTGGAGGTCTTGCTACAAAGTACTGTGGCTGTAGCTGAACGTCTCAGTTCAAGCCCTGCTTTCTTTCCCTCCCGAATGCTTTGCGCTCCAGTAGCAGAAAAAATGCGGACTGCATCCACCATGCTTTAGTGTGACTCGAAACAAATATCAAGGAGTTGCTGCTTTCAACAGCAAAGAAAGATCAAGGTTTTTGGTGCAGATCTGATGGTTTGATTTCAAAAATGCAAAGAAGTGTCTGTGTGGCTCCATATTTGGCCAGCAAAATGAATCAAGTAATTAGAATATATATTATGTATAATTATAATTATATATAATATAATATAATATCAAGCATATATCATCTATCCCGTGGCCGACTCCTCTCCCAACATATCCGCTAACCAGGCCACTTAACAAAGATTCTCGCAAGTGCGTTCCTGAAAAGGCTGAAAGGCGACATGTCATTGTCATTCAATTACGTTACCGGCCATGGCCACAATCAACCGATATTGAAGACTCAACTGTTTGTGAATCAGATGCCTCTGAAGGCAGCCAAATCCCCAGTCTTTCAAAATGTTCCCCTCCCTTCTGGTTTTGCTATCAGTGCGGGAACGGAGAACCCCCTGCAGTGGTCCTGATTTCACAAAAATGGCCCACAATGCTGGAAGCCGCGGCAGCAAGGAGCCATCGCCTCAAATGTCTGCCGGGTAATGCCGGGTATTGCAAAATGCGCCGTGGAAACAACAGCAGGTAGATTGACAAAGTTCTCATGCACGTTTCGGAGAACAGCAGATCGTTTGACTTTAAGATTGAGTTGGTTGAGCTTCATTCTATACTTGTTGACAAATGCCCTGCCTTGAATGCGCTTGCCTATGTACCTGGGAGGCAAGGCAGAAGAGACCCCTTTCCTACAACGACCAGGTTCCTTTAAGTTTCGGGCCAAAGGAACAAAGGAGAGTCCCAATCAACAAATAAAACAACATGCCAAATGAAATGAGGTGTGCTGCATGCTGGTAACAGTATAGACATATCTTGCAAGCATATCCTTTCGATTCCCTGGAGAAAATGGCCAGTGTCACGCTGAGCACCAGCATGTTGCTGCAGCATGTCATTTTTGTTCAGCCATCACACTCATTCCACTAGTCTTGATTGAAAAAACACGTTGGATTTAGATTTTGGATTAGATCCACCAACAGCACAGAGTATTTAAACCAGGCAACGCCTGTAGCACTGCTTGGCTTTGGCAGGTCTGCACACCTCTGATTGCACAGTGTTGCACTTGAAGAAAATCAAAATAGGACAGGATCATGACAAATGACACATGACAAGAACCATCACAGATTCCGTGGCTAGGGCGGCGAGAACCATTACGCATTTCTAGGTCGATTCGTCCAGGTATGATGCTCTACCATAGATTCTATAGAATCCAATCACTAGGATCTACTGAGAATCTACTGGGTAGGTCTCCGACCATCTCACCAGTAAAAACCAGCTGAGGAGCGTATCACAGAGCAGCGTGCATGGAGTTGCCAATCTCGCGCCGCGTGTGGCCAGGTCTGCAGAATGCTGCAGCAAAGTTGTGATGAGCTCACAGACGATGGAGATCTGTAGAGTGCACACTGAAAATACTGTGTAGATCTGTATAGAAGTCACCAAAAAGTTGAGACTGCCATGTTCTTTCAAAAACTGCGCAAATGCACACAATCCAAGGTGCACGGCGCCAATGCCTCGCCGCCCAGCGCCAAGGCAGCTTTGGCCAAGCGCCTGCAGCCTGCCACATGCTATGGAACATTTCCAGTTGACATGTCGACAATGTCCCAGTCTGAAGTGACCAGTCGTTGGGGTTTAACCTGAAGTCGTAATTAATGGTTTCGCGGAAGGTTGTGCACGTCGTGAGCACAGCAGGATTAGTCTTAGTTACCTGTAAAGACTATCAGCCAAGGGAAAAAAGTTTGAAGTTTGAACACAACAAGGGCCCTGGGGCCAACCATGCACATCGTTCACATCTTTCACCTATTTTACAGTCTGAAAAATAGCAATCCTCCACCAGCTCCCCACCGGTCCCGCCATCTGCCATGTCGTAGACATCACTCACCTTGCGGAGCCAAAAGCCCTCCACCAGTTGCCGTGGACGAATTAAATTCACGTCCCGACCTCAGCCATTCACTCAATTAATAGAGTAGGGAATAAATCTTTCAGCTCTTCACTGCTCCATGCTGCTCCAGGACTTTGCACTTTTTCCAGAGAGGAAACCTGAGCCTTGCACCTGGTATGTCGAAGGTAGTTCCAGCCACCACCAGCTGCACAGCCATCTCCTGAGCCTCTTTGCTGTTGCAATAGGCTGCCTCAAATCCACTTCTTTGCAGCTGTGAGGCCAACAAATGCTGATTCGAGAGATATCTGCAATGGGAGAAAAGGATCCTTGATTCCTACAATGCTTTGAATGTCATTGGAAATTCACCAACAAAATATGAACATGAGAAATGTCTCAACAAACATAACAAAATGACATTCGTAGCAGACAGTTGTGTTATCATCTAGGACCCGCGATCTTTGAGACACTAAGTCATAGCTGCAGAGATTGAGCTATGGCCGAGCATCTGCTGCACGCTGTGAACACTGCTCTGCCAAGAACTGCGCTGGTGCAGCATCGACAGCTTCAGCCAAGGGTGCAGCCAGTTGAAGGGCACGATCCATCCGTCCTGCCAAGGCGACTGATGATCAAACGAACTATGAAACAGAACATCGACCAAGGAAGTTCAAAAATCACAAATTCCTGTTACAGACATAGGGTGCTAGGAATCTTAAGAAATCTGCATAATTATGCTTAAGTGCGAACCCAGTCAGAAGCCTTTTCAGAAGGTGTAAGAGAATGGACAAAGAAAATGGAACACCTGCTGCCAGGAACACAGTTCATTTCAGGAATATGTGGCCTTCAGGAGAATTGCTCGGCTCATGTGACCGCAAAAAGTCCGAAAACACCGAAGTCATCTTAGTAGCCGGAATGAACCAAGAAGCGACAGGACTTGTTGCATGCATTTTCTTCAAGAATCCAGTTCCCTTGTTACAACAAAATAGATTCCAAAATGTCAATGTGAATTTCAGGATCCTAAAATGGAGGTACTGTAATTACCATATAAGGCCATATTTTGTGGAGATATCCCCTTACATAGCCTCTACATAGGCCTTATATAGGCGTAGGTACCTCCAATTTAGGTTCCTGAAATGGCCATTGAACATGTGGGCACCCCAAACATTCCCAACATGGTCTCTACAAGTTAGGAGATTGAACCCAATTGCTGAGTCCATTCTTGCAGCCACCAAACACTAGAAGTTGTGGATGAGTGCGGGGGGGAACCTTCAAGTTTGACGAATACTTGTCTTCTTCACAGTTGTGGTTTGTCCAATTTTCTGATTTTCGACCGGTCCTTTCTTCACAAAACCCAAGACCTCAGCCAGCTGTGCATCCCTGGCTGCAGGGGCGGACACGACTGTGGGAGATATCAAAACATAGAATTTCCGTCCTGCCTTCTGATACTTGACTTGAATTTTGTTCAGCCATCTGATTCGAAGAAACATAAAATGGCTAATAAATTAATAACAACTGATAATAAATGTATGTTGCTGTAAATCTTCAAAATAAACAAACCTTTAAACTTCAAAGCAGACTTCAAAATGTTGTGCACCTGCATTAAACCGAACTCTATAAGCATATCAGCACCATCACCATTCTATCACCCCCACCCATCTGTCCTCCAATATCCCCATTCACGGCCTCTTGTTTGGCACATCTCCAATCATATCGCTTGCATCGCCAAAGCCACCCAACAGGCCACTAAAAGTTCGCTGGCCTGACGAGTTTCGCAAGTGTTTGGATTTCTGTGCAGAGATGATCGGACGATATCGGAGCATTCCTGGATGACAAGCTCACTGAAAATATACTAATTTGCTGTGCCAGATTCATACTCACAAACAATAAACTAGCATCAAGGAACAAAAACCATTGCATAGCCACATACTAGTGGCTAGACATACAGTATCATATGATATAAGTTTCCAGTGTCTGCCACATCGGCCGCTAGGCACCTCGAAGAGCAAAGACACGGCAGCGCACGCCGCGCACGCCATGGAGACACAGAACGTGCGATGGCATCAGGGCTATGACGGCTATGAGCTGCCAAGTCTATCTCTATCCGGGGCCACCCTGCCAGGACTCAGATAGTATGAATTCATAATCCAAAAAAAAACACACAACAAATGGCCTATGCAATCAAAAAACATATACCTGGCGCTTACTAGCGCTATTGCCCATTAAGATGCACCCCTAACCACCTATAGTAAGTGTTTGACCATCTCTTCTAGCAAGTCATCACGTCCTGGACTTGTCCCATCTGTCCTAAAACTCTCGGAAAAAAAGAAACGCGAACTCAGAAAAAACTCTTCGCGTGGTCTCATGTTGGAACCCTGGCGGCCTTTGTAATGGACAATCTCCGCGTGGACCTTTAGATCGACAATCATATATACGCGAATGTAAAGCCGCATTTGCTTGTGCCAAATGTGACAACAGATACAGTTGCAATAAAGCATAATCAGCGTGGAGAACTCAGAAGCTCCTAACCATAGCAATCGTTAGAGAAACTGCTCGACCAGTCACCAAACGACTTTGGGCATTTTTGGGCTAACTTGGACCAGGACTTCATCCAAAGGTTTCCTCCAAAAATGGAGTATATAATTGGCTGGCAGATGGGAGGCATTTTTCATGGTGCTCAGAAAATTGTGTATATATATATAATTTAATATAGTGCTATAACTGTAGTATAATTAGATAGAAAATTCATACAAAACAGAACCCCGCGTCATCGACCCCGCCTTTCTTGTCGGCGTCCTGAACAGAGTGCGATGCTTATCTTCACAGCATAAGCCACTGTTCTGACACATTCACACTGGGATACCCGGTGAGAAGTGCAACTGGAGCTCCTTGTCCAATGCATGCTACTGGATCAAAAGACGTTGCTTATTATACGTATTGTTATTTGTTTCCTCAGAAATAGCTACAATCTGAAAATCTGGTGCCTTTTCGGTGCCTTCAGTTAAAATTCTAATCTTGCTGAAATTTGTACCCTCCGGCACGTAACGCGGAGAATATGTAAAACATGAAGCATTTGAAAGCCGCACTATTGCAGCTAGAAGTATGATGGCTCGCGTGAAAACAACATAATTGGCTGCAGTTGGTACGGAGGAGGTCGACCAAGTGTGAATTGACCTAGCAAATAGTTCAGTTTACTACCTCCCCTCGCAGAATAGCATGCCTAAACTTCCCATTGGTCAACCGTCAGGAAAACACAGCAAGATTCGCCTTGCCACCACCTTTCGCTCCACCTTTGCCACCACCTTTGCCGCCTCCACCTGGCATGGAAACCGGATTCTAGCAGACCTCAAAGCCATCGAATCAATATTGCCGATCCCACTGCAGCACAATTATATTTCCCCACATTGACGTGTGGGGTTTTTGTTTTTAGTTCTGTATCCGCTCCTCTTCCTCCTCCTCCCGCCGCCTCGCCTCCCGCCTCACTCACTCACTCACTCACTCACTCACTCACTCACTCATCACTCACTCACTCACTCACTCACTCACTCACTCACTCACTCACCCACCCACTCACTCACTCACTCACTCACTCACTACACACTCACTCACTACACACTCACTCACTACACACTCACACACTCACACACTCACTCACTCACTCACTCACTCACTCACTCACTCACTCACTCACTCACTCACTCACTCACTCACTCACCTCACTCACCTCACTCACCTCACTCACCTCACTCACTCACTCACCTCACTCAACCTCACTCACCTCACTCACCTCACTCACCTCACTCACCTTCACTCACCTCACCTCAACCTCCCTCACTCACT